GTCACGGTTTGACAAAAAGCAGTCATGGATGGCATATTTGGCAGAGTGTGTATCTTAACATATTTTTTTCTCTCAACCTTTGAAATTAAGACCATGCAAAGTGGACCATTAAGATTCACTTGATGTAACGCTTTAACAAAAAATAATGGAAAATGGAAAAACCAGAATCATCGGAGGGGACGAAGAACATATATCCATAGACTAAAAATCAAACTTTTGGTCTTTGGTCTTTACAGCAGTTGATGCGGCAAAGTAAGCTTCTTGCGTTTGTATGTTATTGTTACTCTTTTTTTAACTTCACCAAAAACCAAACTAATTTTTTGTTTCCCCTTTTCTATTTGGAATCACAAAGATGAAATTTTAGGCGAGAGTTGTTTAGGTAATTTATTTTCTTTCCGAGACCGAGTCTAGAAGAATGAACGGTTAAGAACTCATGGAGAAATTTATTTGGTGACAAAAAAGACTTTTTGAGAGAGAAAGTCAATGAATTTTTGGAATTGGGACGATATTACAAAGGCTGGGGTTTTATTTTGCATTTCTCTGCTTTTTTTATCCCAATAAACAAGACAAAAAAGAGAGAGAATTTCAAGAGAAAACATCGGGTTGATAAGTTATATTTCAGAACCTTTCAAAATACCAAGTTGATTTCGAGAGAAATAACCTCGTGGTTTTGACTATCAGCACATATCCGTCTTTTCTCCACCTCAATTCTATCTTCGCAATTCATTCGATTTCGCTGGAATCCTGTAGAACAGAGGATTGGGTTTTGAGCTGAGCTTATTTGGTGAACTGGGTATGGTTCTGATCAAGGAAAAGACTGGATTCTGAAGGGGAATTGAAACTGGAATTCTGGTTATGATAAAATGGGGAAACTGGACATGAAAATGCAGCTGCCCTGCACACTGCAATGAACGCTGTGCAGGCATTAGGGAGGGGATTTGATGTTAACTTCGATACGAAGTTACTGTATTGTAAAGGCGTGACAGGTTCTAGGATAGTTGAAATCGATGATGAACATGGTAGGGATATCTACCTGGATAATCAAACTGTTTTGCCAAATGTTTCTAGAGATATCAAAAACTCCTCGGAGCCTTTTGACCGTCATAGTTCTGGGGTCTGCAACTTCCATGAGGTAATGTTCTGGTGTTTTATTCATAAATTATGCAAGGGGGTTCGTTCAGATTCAAAACTGTCTTCTTGTGTTTCAATTGTAGTCAAATATCTTGAGGCTATGCCTTCTTCCCTCTAATTTATCATGGTTTAGTTTTTCTCATGCATGAGCTTTTTAAGGAATTATTTGATGAAGTACAATTATCCATTGGTGTCAATTGTGAACCTAAAAATCTCTTGGAACTAATTCTGTTCGCCCTGCTAATTATCTCCTACCAAAATGCTTAAGGTCGTGGACTCATGTCTGATTGGTAGTGTCCAAGTTTGGTTTTAAGTGATTAACTGCTTCCATAAATAGTTAGGGTGACATAAAAACGTACATAAGAGTATCAAATTTGATTATGAATTGATGGACCTAATTAGTTTTAAGAGAGAGAATGCTGATTGAATTACTAACTGCACTGTGATCAATGATGAATTGTAGCATTAGCATAACTAATGTTTCTGATCTTAATATAATTACCTAAACAATTTATTTCCTATTATTTGTTTTACTCTTATTTCTTTGAACATGATTTGTGTTGCTTTAACCTATTCTAATTTGCTATTCTTAACTTCCAATTTCAGATGGTAGAGTATTTTAACAAAAAAGCTGATATCCCTGGTGGTTTTCCGCTTGGTAGTTTTAATTCTGCATTTAGCTTTACTGGTTCAATGACTACTGATGCTGCAATGACTACTGATGCTGCAATGACAAAGGCACTTGCTATGGATGGATTTTACATTCCAGTTGCCAAGTTTCAGCTTACAAAGACCCCATCATCATTACAAGAAAATGTTAAACAGGCTGTCCCGACATCTTGGGAGCCATCGACTTTAGCTAGGTATGAACCATTTGTTGTTAAATGAAACTTCTCTTATAGGTTAAGTTCCTAATACTGCTTTATTTGATAGTTTCATTGAAAGTTTTGGGACTCATGCTATTACTTCAGTAACTATTGGTGGTAAAGATGTGATATACGTCAAACAACATCATACATCACCTTTGTCTACCAAGGATATTAAAAGCTATGTCCAGGGTATTGGAAACCAGAGATTCTCCGACAAAGAAAGCCTTACAAGTTCAGGTCAAATCAAATTGAAGGATAAGGCTAGTTCCAATTTTTCTTTCATATTTTTCCATCCTTCGGTTTTCTTACTTTCTTGACCTTTGCTGACATAATATTGGAGCTCTGTAGGGTCTTGATTCTGGCATATTCAACAGTCAAGGGATATACCCTCAGCCTACATCCTTGCCACCTCTTAATGGGAAAGAGGTATGAAGATGTCTTGACATTTTATTAGTGGAAATCAATTTGAATTTGCTATGATTGGGATTTGGGATGCTATTTTGTTATATTCTGTGCCCTTGGGGTCATAAAGTTGAGAAATCTAATTTGGAAAAGAAATTTTGCATTGTTCTTCATACACATAAAAGAGTTAGCATCAGTGGCGGATCTAGAAATTAAAAAATGGGGGTCCAAAATTTTAATATCCTATTCTAAAAAATTTGGGTATGCAAATTTTCTTATTTTTTTCTATTCCTATTAACAAATTAAACTAAATTTAACATTTTTCTCAAAATAATGGGTGTGCAATGGCTCTCCTAGGGAGCCATGTACATCCGCCCCTAGTTAGCATGTAGGATATTAAGAACCAGGGGGTGATTGTTATTTACGTTGAGATTCACAACTGAAACTAATTTAACTGTCAACCACAACTGCATTTGCCTGCACTATTTGTCTGAAACTCTTTTATTAAACTTGTTAGTTTGTATTCACGGTTTGTTTTTGCCAATGATTCAATGAATGTGGTAGCTTCATGATTGGTTTCATCGGAGTGGATGGTGCATTTACTGTTTTTCCCATTATTGAATCAGATCCAGATAGCCAACACTGTGTAGTAGGCCATGGTTAGTTTGGACATCTGGCTGTTGTAACCATTCCTCTTAAAATGTTCCCATTGCGATGTATTGAACTATTATGAAATCATTGCTCATTACTGAGCATGCTGGAGTGCCTAATATGTACACTTTATTGGTTTTTTGTTGCCAAATGATATTCTAGCATGACTTGTTGTAAGATTAGATTGTTGGTGCAAGCTGTTTATAATGTTAGAACAAGCACATAGCTGCTGGCCCCTGGCGAGAGAATTATTTACGTGATTGAGGAGCAAGCTTATCTGCTTTCTACTATGAAATGTTTGCTTTAGTGTTTCTTTTTCTGTCAATTCCAGATGTTTAGCTTGCCAGACCTTATTTGCATTAAGTCTATGAATCCTTGATCTCATTTTCTGGAATTCTTATTGTTGTAGGATTTTACTGTCATTTTTCGGAAAAGGGGAGGAGATGATCTGGAGCAAAACCACACCCGGTGGGCGAAAACTGTCTGGCCCTCTCCTGATGTCATTGAAATGACTTTCTATCCTATAACGGCTATGCTTGATGGTGTAGCTGGAAAGGAGCATGTAGTTCGTGCTATCGGTCTCTATCTTGAATGTAATACAGCTACATCTTTGTGGTTAATTGAATACAATCTTTTCTTTCAACAAATTCTTTGTACTAACTGGATTATTTGCTCTGATTGTCGGCAGACAAGCCTCCAATTGAAGAACTGCGATATTTTCTGGAGTTCCAAATTCCTAGGATATGGGCTCCTGTACAGGATAAGATTCCTGGCCATCAGAGGAAGGAACCTATCTGCCCATCTTTGCAATTCAGCATGATGGGCCAAAAGCTTTATGTTAGCCAAGAGCAGGTATAGGCTTTTGCAACTTAGCTTTTCATATAAAAACTTCATTCATGGTTTTGCAGCATATGAACCGATCAAACATCATTGTTATGATTCTGGAGTTTCTGGTCATAGGGCATTCATTATAAACAACCCCATGAAAGTTACAAGGGAATTTTGAAATGAATCGTTCCAACAAAATTTTGGATTAATCTGGGCTCAATGTAAATGCAGATCTCAGTTGGGCGTAAGCCGGTGACAGGCTTGCGGTTACAACTCGAAGGGATCAAGAAGAGTCGTCTGAGTATTCATCTTCAACACTTAGCTTCTCTTCCAAAGATCCTGCTTCCACACTGGGACACGCATGTCGCAATTGGTGCTCCCAAGTGGCTGGGACCCGAGGAGCAAGACAGAGATGGTTTGAACCTGTGAAATGGAAGAACTTCTCTTGTTAGTACTGCACCGGTTGAAAACCCGGAAACCTTTATAGGTGACCTCTCTGGCATCTACATTGTGACGGGATCACAACTTGGAGTCTTGGATTTCGGGTCGAGAAATGTCTTGTACATGAAGCTCTTGTATTCTAAGCTTCCTAGCTGCACAATACGAAGATCTTTGTGGGACCACACTCCAAACGAGAAATCAAAGAAGGCCATTGCTACTATGGGTATTACCAACTCCGGGGACTCAGGTATGACCACACAAGAAACATTTCAAACAAGTTGGCAAAATTCGTCGATATGTCTTAGATGAGCAAAGGGCCGCAAGATCCACCCGGTCATTGGTTAGTTACCGGTGGAAAGCTTGGTGTTGAGAAAGGCAAAATTGTTTTGAGAGTGAAATGCTCCTTGCTGAATTATTGAACCTAGCCAAGGTTTTGCAACAAGCTCTTTTTTGGCATGTACATTGCGTTCATGCTTGTAAAGAATTGTGCTTTGATGAGAGTTTGGTTGGAGTAGGTGGTACCTATTAAGTTTAGTTCGATTCGAGATAAAAGGTTGAACCGTTCGTTAGGCTTGTTAATCAACTACGTATTAGCTCAATTATTTATAATAAGAACTCACCAATTATTTATAAATTATAAAGGATATTAATCAGAAAACCATAAAAAAATATGGTCAATCAACAAACAAATTTCAGACATTATCTTATGGATATTCCCTCCAAAGTCCAAACTTAGTAGTTGGAGGGCACTATGCATACATTGAAATGTATATATATATAGGCTATGGCACTTGCTCGCCTATTTCACACATAAAGCCAGCGGGATCCACCTTGCTACCTCTGCGTAAAACTCTTATGTGACCTTATACAATAATTTTTCAATTGAATTTGTCTTAAAATTGGCCTCCTTCAAATGTTTGTCCGAATTGCCAACCACCAGGCACCACATTGTAGTTTGTGATGGTCCTGCTATCGCTGGCTGTGACTTTGAAAGGCTTTGGCCATTCAGGTAGGCATTGCTCTGCCAATTTTGGCCCCAGTTTCTCGACTTCGGTAGCCACTCCGTCTTCGAACCCTTGATCGAGACCGATTTTATATCCCCAGCACCTCTGACGTTTGTTATCAGAACTAGGTTGAAGTATGAATGCCCACTAATGGTGTATCGTGTGCCTCCTTTCTTCACACGAGATCCTGCAAAAGGTTAAAAGAACACTAGAGTATGGTTGAAGATATGATGAGTGAGTGATGATTTGAATCGAGCTGAATTGTGGTTTATGACCTTCTGTAGAGAACGGGTACGATTCCGGCTCGATATTCGGCAATCTGCAAGAAAGCCAGTTTGGCCAAATCAAATTGTTCTCGAGGGGGATTGCACCAGCCACCATTGTCACTTGATAAAGCATAGTTAGGGGGACAAAAGTTGGTGGCGGTCACGGTTATGGTTCGAGTAAAACACCATTTAGGATCATCATTGCACCGGAGCTCGTAACAGGAACCGCAGCTCAGGCCATTGTTGAAAAGTGAAGTGCTCAAAGCTACTGTGCTCGTTCCATACCCTTGATTATACAAGTTCCCATAACCACAAGCTCCCCCTAAAACAAACATGTATAACACAGAAGTTCCCTTTTTTATGTAGAGGGAAAGTTTGAAACTCACCCATCGTGCCGGTAGCATCAGCACCACCGTAGAATGTGGCATGTGAAGTTTGCAAGCCGCCATTTTCGGCTCCATTAATGCTATCGAATCTGCAGTTGCAGACAAGAAACAAGCAGAAGAAGAAAAGGGGAAATAGTTGCAATGTTATCGTTTTGGTGGCCATTTGAGTAAGAGCTAGCTATAGCTCAAACAACCGGCTGAACTTATTGCTTGCACCAATAGGTTGAGGATCCGAAGCGGAAAGTGTGTAACTATTTATACAAAAACCACCATTGCTATGAAACGTAGGTAAGCGGTGAAAGAACAATAATTAGGATTAATAATTAAGCGATGCATAAAAAGGGCACATGCAAAATTTTATTTTGCATAGGACCTCTGTGATTGGTCCCGATCTAGCTGCCATGGTATTCAATATTTGCTCAGCGCCTTGTTTTAATGGATATAAATTTAGATAGATAGATACATAATGTTTACTTAAAACTTTTATTTCCCTCCAAAGGGAAGCCGTAACTATGAAGGAAGGTTGAGCAATGAGTAGAGAGCACTGATCCGAACGTGCAGTTTTCTAAGTCACGATGAATAGGAGTGTCGGGCCGGCTAAACCCTTAAATTACAATATAATTTTTTAAAAATACGAATTATGACATAAAATCATACATCTCAAAGTGTTGGCCGAGCTGAGTTGTTCTATTGCAGTCTCGTAATTGCTTGCAGTTGAAGCCACTTAAAACAAAACTAAAAACTGTAATGTCCAACCACCACCTCAACCATCGGAGGAGTTAATTTCCCTATCATTTATCAGGTATAATTATTTGAAGTTGGTTTGATGAATGGTGAATTGGTGTAGTGTTGGTCGATTTTCAGCCACCTATCATATTCAGGTTTTTCTTTTTCTTTTTCATTTGTGTTGAACCTTTTTTTAAATATATTTGTGTTGAATGTTAAAAACAAATTAATATGGAGTTATTGTACAAGATAGTAAATCAGGTGATGTGATGGGTGATTTATTTTACCATTATTTTGTTGATAATTACTTATATCTAGTAAACTCGATTCGAACCCGATTATCCGAATTAATTTACTCGACTTAATATTTGATATTAACCCGAACATGATCAATTTTTATCCAAAACCCTAACCATACCCGATCCAAAATTTAGCAGACCCAATATAGATACATATCTAATTTGACTCGAATAGAAAACAACCTGAACTGAAATTTACCTAAACCAAAAGCAACCGGAATCGAAAATAACACGAATCAAAGACAATCGGAATAAAAAATAACTCGAATCGAAACCAAGCCTAACTGAATTTATCCCGATCCAAAAGTAACCCAAACTGAAATTAATCTGAACCGAAAGCAATTCGATCCGAAAATATGTATATATTTTATTAGAATTATAACTGAATTAAGCCTAAATGATAAGATCAACAAACAAGAACACATATTTTTACAAGAATATATCAATAATTCTATATATATTTGATTAGACTTATAACCAATTCAATTCGAATTTACGTAATCCAAAGGTTGACCCAAATAAAAAATCAACCGATCTGATATTGACTCAATCCAAAAGAAAACCGATCTGATATTGACCTCACATAAAATCTAATTGATCTGGTATTAACCCGACCAAAAAATCAACCGATCTCATAGTTACCCGACTCAAAAATTGACCCACCCGAAAATTGACCCGACACACTACCAGACCCGACCTGATTTACCATACACCCGAACTAAATCCGAACCAGACCTAATCCGACCCAAATAAAATTAAACCGAAGATAATCTAGACCCGAAATGATCCGACCCAAAATAAAATGACCCAAACCTAATCCGAATGACTCATTTGCCACCTCTATAATTACTCCTTGTTGTTTCATTGATATTGTTGATTTGAGTTGTTTTTCTTGAATTTTATGCAAGACTTTAATTTTTAAAAACAACATTAAAAGAACAAGTTATGTAGTTTTTATTTTTCTGAAATCAAGGTTGGACTCATGAGCATGATTTGGGGCATGACGATGTCCGACGTGACAGATTTTGGTGGTCCAGTCAGCAGCAACTTCCAGAAGGCGATTCAATCAGCATTCTCTGGAAGGATGGACGGACGGAAATTACTTAGGATTTAAGTTTGTGTTTGAATTTGAAATGAATATTTGGGGATTATCATTTTATTATTTAGGATTTTATTATTCGAATGATTTTAAGATTTATCTTTAGTTATTTCATTTTTCTTTAGGTTATTTGAAAGCTATAAATACCTCTTAGGATAAAGCTTAAAATGTAGATTTGTTTTTGTTTTATTTTTATTTTATAAAAGTTTTCTTCTTTTCATCTTTGTTTTTACTTATTCTTTACTTTATTTTATTTTAAAAACGTTAAGTATGATTTCTATCATGCTTAGCTAATTTTCTCATTTAGCCGATGACTTAGCGATGACTCAATTCATATTATGAGAATTGGAAAACACTTAATATCTTCGGATATCATTCTTAATTTTCTGCAAACTTGGATTGGCAATCGACCTTTCCTTTAAAAATCTTAACACTTTCATTTCAAAAGTCAATGTTGGCCTAGATGTTGTTTTGATTTAAAGTTGGGAGGAAGAATAGGCTGGTAGCAAGTTCGACTTCCTATGAACACACTTAGCGGTAGTCCACTAAGGGAAATTAAGATCAAATTCGATTCTCATTAAGACAACATAATCCGAGTCGGGCTTTTCCAACACTTAAAGTTATTTTGGTGCTAACAACGATATTCGTAGTTAGTCTAAACAAGGACTGAATTTCAAAGATTGACTTGGGAATAACGGTTTACCGGAGAGAAAAGTTATTTACAAGGGTTGGACCTTGTAGATTGTAACCGACATGAATTCCGAAGCAAAATCTCTTTTGATGATCAAAATGAATTGAGGCAAAGCGAAGCTTGAGGCTATTTTTCATCATATTGTTTTCAACGGTTATTTTCACTCTTTGTTATTTCTTTACTTATTTAATTTTACTTAGTTTTTATTGCCAAATTCTCCTTATCTTTTTTCTACAGTTTCCCTAAATCAAAATCAAGACAATTCGACATTGGAAATTTCTAAGTTCCTGTGGATCGATCATTTCTTCTCTATACCACGTTTCAATTTATTTCATTTGAGAAAAAAGAACATTTTATTGACAATATATGATGTTTGTCATGATGTTATCAACTAAAATCAAATAAGATTAAAGAATTAATTTTAATTTACTATTTTTGTCTTTAAACTCATGATTCAATACGATCTTAATGCAACTCATGTCATAATCTTTTTTATCTCATAATATTTTAATAGCATATCAGGCATGAAAAAAAATTAATTTTTATATTATTCTATCTTTAATTTCTTGATGCCTAATTAACTAACTAAACAAATAATATTGATCTACATCAATTCATTTGAGCACGTTTATACATTTCTCACTTACAATCATTGAGGAGCCATGATATATATCTTTTATGATTACATAAACAAATTTCATCTTAAGCACTCACATCGCACTACATGTTTATTGTCATGTTCAAGCACAACATTTATAATTGTCTGATTAAAGACAATGCTTGACAATGTTAAAACATAATAATCATCGTGTTGAAAACCGTAATAATTTCATGTTTAAGTTAAATAATTGTTGAAGATTAATATATAATATTGATCCATGTATTAATCTAAAAACGAGATGACCTAATATTTGCTCTCAACACATGTATATAAATTTGATTTATAGCTTATTCACATATTCATCTCATGAAAATTTATCAGAGTTCATATTAATCTTATTTTATTATTGTTCTCACAATAATAATCGATTAGAGATATTTATAATAATTGATAATATTATTCAATAATATTAATATATAAGAAGAAAGCAAATTTTGATGATAATAAATTTAGTAATCCAAACATTATTATCATACAATAAGCCTATGCCATTATTACTAGCAAGAGGTGGACGAAAAGACTCATGGACTCTCTCATTTGATGGACGAGAATCACATGCTACCGCCTGCCTCATCCACTGAGTTGACTCAACAACTAAAACTCTATTAACCAGCTCCTAAAAATCAGACATACCCAGAGCTGTAAAAGAGATTGAATTTCATTATTCAGACCATCCATGAACATACATCACTTATCTCCCTCTGTCTTGATGTACCTGCAATCTATGAAATTCTTGCCAGCACAGTTCCAGATGGCTGATGTGTTAACTAAACCTTTACCTACTTCTTTCTTATTGAAGGTTTGCAGAGAGAATTGTTGCCAGCTGGCTTGGTTGTTACGTTGCTATCAATTTGTTTGGGCTAATTGACTGTGGTTACTTGATCTTTCTGCTCCTAGCTTTAAAATTGGGTCAAACTCTGGTGTTGATTCATAGCAGCAACAGGCTATATTAATTGAGGAAGAGTATAGTGCCAAGATCAACTTTTGTCTTCTAGGCAAATGATATCTTATTGCCTAAATTTCCCTTCCTTTTTTTTTTATCTGCCGATTCCTTTTTCCCTGTGCTTCAGCTTTTGATCTTCCATCTTCATTCAGTGTATCTGCTTGAACTTCGTAGCAATTCAAGAAGGGCTGCTGCTTCAACAACTCTCTCTTCGGGGCAGTCAGAATAGTGGTTTCCCACTAATTTTGTAACTCAAGGTAACTGCACACTTCAATTTGTGTTTATTAAGAAACGAATCTGTTTCTCCAAGATCTACAAAGTATTATCCAACCAGGATTCAGTGGTTATTTTCCTTATCATTACTCAATTAAAAAAAAGTAGTTATTTTCGTTATCATTAGATCATGTAAGTATATTTGAAGCAATGAAAATAAAGCGTATAATATCACTATAGAAGACGCGGATATATTAATAGTAAAAGTAGGTAAAAAGATGATATTATACAACGTTACATGAGTAAATGAGATAACATCGACTAAAAGTGCTATCCCTATGGATTCTTAACATCCATTTTTATTATGTAGCTTTCATTAGCTGACGAACTTCCATGGCCAAACTTTCACGTGACGCTGCAAATGGGACAGCAAAAATAAAACATTCACCAGTTAATAAATTGAAAACCATAACCAACGAACTCGGTGAGCATTAAAAAAGAAATTAGAGGCATAGGAACCTTTTGCAGTCGGTGCTGGGGCTGATCTGGTAAGGGATGCTGACACCGCACTTGGCTGGGAGTCCACTTGCAAGGTTTAAGTCGATGCCTCTTATGCTGTTAGCCGCACTTTTGAGGCAGTTGCAAGCTGCTTGGCGGTCTGGTGTTGTTTGGGCTTCGGCGTTGAGGGCTTTGATCCCACTGCAGCATGCTGAAGGAACAGTACCACCGCCTGGACCCTTCAAGTAAGGAATGCAGGGTGCCAATTTGGTTGACTTCACCACAATTCATGGCTCCTTGAGCCAGGGGTGCACCAACCACAACCAAGCACACCACCACCACACATACAAGCTTAAGGGACATAGAGCTAGCCATTTTGATTGATTACAACAAGAAAAAAAGCCGATCTTATACAGCTTGTAAGGAAAGTGCTTAGTGGGTGCCAATGCTGATTGCTGATTTCTGGTTGCCGATCGTTGTGTGATTACCGGTTATTGCTCGAGGGTTTTTATAGCCGGGAAGTTGAGAGAAGGGTTATACGACAGCGTTGGGCGTTGGTGGTTGGCTTAATTCAATGCAACATCAAATATTTGAATCCACATGATCATTTACCATGTGGATTGGGGTTATTGATCTAAAAGCCCCCATTAAGACCGCATGAGGAGATAAAGTGTTTTCCCAATCAATTATGGGCAACCGTCACTCACTTCCTGCTTGATTGCTGTTTTCTTTCAATTCAATTAAAAATCATGCCCAAGGACTGAAATATTAGTTTAATTTTTTCTACCTGCCTTCTCAGAAATATAACCGTTCTTTTAAAACTAATCAACTTATTTTCGACATTTAATCTCAAAGTATTTGTTTTCTTTGATTATGGGATTAAACCTCGCATAAATTTAGAGTAGTAATGGATTTAGAAATATATTTTAAGGTGGCAACACATATGTTAATAACACAATTTTTTTATGAGGATGGCATAAATAAAATTTTAGTGTGGGCACATCAATAAAATAAGTAACTAATCGAAAAATTCGAACTTCAACGTGGGTCCGTGCCCATCCTAAGTATATTGTGGATCCTCCATTGATTTCAAGTCCTATTTTATCAATTATACTTTGATTATATTCAACATTCTCAACGGAACAATTGGATTGTATTGACTATTTATGATTTATCTTTTTTTAATTTGGACATAAAGTTGTAATTGTTGATTAAGTGATTATTGGTCGATATCAAGATCTTTTGCCTTCAAGAGGAAGAAGAGTGAGAGTAGGACATGCGGTGCTTTCTCTCCCATCTCAATCTTGGTCGATAGGTTTCGTAATGATTTTTAATGTTGATGTCAGACGCAAGATCATTATAACTACTTTTAGGTTGATGGATTCAGTAGATATGATTGACTGATAGTATATTTAATTATGATAAATCACCTAAATTTATTAGAAATCATATTAAGAGATCACAATCTTCTAAGGAGGTCAGATATTTGAGGTATTTGATAATGAAATTAAATATTAGATAAATTTTGAGATCAGCTTTATCTACTTTTATCCTATTGAACTTGTTAAATAATTATTTAGGAATGATAAAATGTTAAGAACTGTAAAAGTAAAAGTAAATATATTGCAATTTTCAAAATTTATAAAGAATCTTTATATTAAAATAATTAATGTTAGCTTAATAAGTTAATTTTTAACTAAATAAATTAACCTAAAATAATGTTCAAAATAATTGTTTTTTAAAAATATGGTACATACCTCAACCAACTTCAAACTGATTTTAATGACCTAGAGCCTATGCGTCCCAATAAACGAACATTCCAGACCTCAACCTCAAATTCATTTTAATGGTCTTGTATACGTGTCCCACCAAATAATCTCTAGTGGTGATTAATCATCCATATATACTAGCACAAATTTAGTTTTCCTTCATATGCTTTCACGAACAAATTAGAATCTGAAGCAGGGGCGGATGTACATGGCTCCCTAGGGGAGCCATTGCACACCATTATTTTAAGAAAAATATTAAATTTAGTTTAATTTGTTAATAGGAATAGAAAAAAAAATAAGAAAATTTGCATACCCAAATTTATTTAGAATAGGGTATTAAAATTTTGGATCCCTATTTTTTTATTTCTAGATCCGCCGCTGATCTGAAGAATCCATATAATAACCACTATAAGTTATAAATTTAATTATCTTCTCATATCAAGCCCTGAGTGCTTGCTTCAATCCATAAAGTGGCTTTCAAAATTTATAGACATAATCTGAAAATCTCGATTTTAAAAACTCATTGGGTGGTTCATGTAAATATCACGATCTAACTTCCCATGCCAAAATGAATTCTTCACATAGATTCTAATCTTTACTAGCTGCTAGTGCTAGTAGGACTCGGACAATTATAAGTTTTGTCATTGGACTAAATGTTTCATCATAGTCTAGTCCATATTATTGAGAGAATCCTTAAGCTATCAATCGAATTTTATTTCTCTTAATCAATTTATTTGTGCAATGTTTTATCTTGTATATCCATTTATAAGAAATATGCTTTACATCTCTTGGCTTTGGTATAAGCTCTTAAGTCTGATTTCGATCAAGTATAGTAATCTCGTCTCTCATTTTTCAATCCATTCTACCTTTTGAGAAGCTTCTTCAAAAGTATCTGATTCATTTGTATCACATTTTTTATTAGGGTAGCGTTAACGTATTTTGAATTTGACTTTTTTTATCCTTGTTGATCTTCTAAGTGGTGTTGGTTCTTGTATTTCACTAACCTCACCATCTTCGATTGGTTGTTGGTGAACATTATCTTGTCACGGACTTTGAGTTACCTCTTCTCCTTCATTATCATCAATAATTTTAGTTTCATCTAGACTCAATTGAACTCCAAAAGTTACAAATCTTTTCTAAGAGCATATCAATCTGGCATAACTCTTTTTCTGAAGACCACCATAAAGATGATTCATCAAACACCACATTGCGAGACACAACATTTTTTACTTGTAGGATCACAACATCTTCACCCTTTTCTTAAATGTCATACCCTACAAAAATACACCTAATAGTTTTCTTGTCCATTTTACGTAAGCGGTCAAGTATAAATAACAAACACTTCCACAAAAAACTCAAAAATAACCGATTATTGATTCCATTTTCCATAATTTTAAAAAAAAAAGTTGGAAGAAAATGTAACATTTGTTGAGGAAGTTTGTTGATTACAAAAGTTGCAGTTTTCATTACTTCCGTCCAAAAATGATTTGGAACGTTTCTTGTATAAAGCATGTTTCAACATATTTCTATCAAATGTTTATTCTTCCTTTCAGCTATATTATTTTGTTGTAGAGTGCCAACACATATGAATTGATGGTATACTCGACACTCTTAAAGAAAGCCTAAAAACCCGTCTGAAGTGTTCTCTCTTCCATTATCTATGCAAAGAAAATAGATATCGTTGTCAACTTCTGCTTTAGCAACTCCTTTAAATTCTTTTAACTTTGAAAAGGTCTCAGATTTTTTTTATAAACTAGATTTACGCATATCTAAAAAAGCCATCAATGAAAGTCATTATGTACTTCATTCTATCAATGAAGGCTTGTTTAACAGGCCCAATCACATTAGAGTTGATCAACTCTAATAACTCAACTACTCTATATTTAGACTCTTCATATAGTAATTGATATGATTTTTTATATCGGCAGTCTACACATATTGTGTCTACACAATTGATCAGGTTTAATTATTTGAAGTTAGCTTGATGAACGGTGAATTGGTGGCGTTGGTCGATTTTTAACCACCTTATCAGATTCAAGTTTTTCTTAATGTTAAAAACAAATAATAAGCAAGGAGTTATTGTCAGTGTATAAATTTATGGGTAAATTGTACCCATTACAACTTGATTACAGATAGATTTTATTTTGACCACTAATATTTTAATTTTATCAATCATATTATTTAATTATTTAAATATTATTAATAAAACTATTTACCAATGTTATTAAAACCGGACCGGACCGGCCGGTTCGACCGGTTGAACCGTGAACCTGTGGCCTGTCCGGTCCGGTTAACTTCCAAAACCGGCTGTGCACAGAACCGGTAGAACTGGCTGAGAACCGACAAAACCGGGGTGAACCGACAAAATCGGTGTAAACAGCTGGTTCTCTTTTTTTCTTTAAAAAAAATTAAACCAAACGACGTCATTTGTTAAACGAGCCGAGTCGAACTCAAGTACTGCTGAGTTCGACTCGAACTTGAAAACTTTAAAAGTAAGCTCAACTCGACTCAAAAACTCACGAGCTAAAAATTATCAAGTTCAACTCGAACTCGAAATATAATATTGAAACTTGAACTTGAAAAGGCTCGAACTCAAAAAAAATTTAGAAGCTCGATTGAAGCCTGAAATTCGAGCTCAATTGAAGCAAAAGAATAGGTTGCTCCATGCTCACCAAAAGGCTCTATGATTTTGAATGTCAAATTACCTCTAGTATTTATAGAAGTCAGTTGGGATGCTCTTCTATGTTTCTTAGCCATGTGAGATTGTTTTGTTCTCATATTTTTACTCTTTAGACTTTTGGGATGCTCTTTTATGTTTTTTAGCCATGTGGGATTGTTTTTTTTTAAAATTAAACCAAACGACATCGTTTGTTATGATTTTTTTTAGCCTCAAATTTATTTTTTGATTATAGTTATATAATTATATTTATTATTTAATATGTTTTACCTTAAATATTATGTTGTAGTTGATTTGAATCATTTTGTTTCACTTGATTTTATGTTTTTTAACTTATATATGTTATGACTTGTGGTATTTTTATACTTTTTAATATTGTAAACTTAAAAAAATGTTATATATATATATATATAATATTGCTTTGAATATTATGTAAAATTTTAAAAAAATATATTATTTTATATAAAATCTGGTTGAACCAGTGAACCAGTACCTTCACCGGTTCAAGGTTCGATCCGATTTTAAAAACATTACTATTTACCGTTAATATTTGACAAAGAACTGACATGATAGTTAAAAAATATAATATATTTACATATTTAGTTTTTATTACTTACACATTTAATAGTTCTTATCACTTTTCCTTATTTGGTCCTTGTGTGATCTTAAGTGGCTATTTTTTGTGTCAATGATTATAGGAAAATATCCTAATCATAATTTTTGGGTTATACTTGTAAATCTTTATTGTAATTCTATATATTTTCTATTTTTAATAAAACTAGCGACTTTCTGTAAAAAAAAAAACGCAATGGTTGTCAATAAATAGGTTAACCTATATTACTATTATCTAGTAAGATAATTT